CCTTCTCATAGCATACTATTTTCAACATTCATCCCTTTTGTGGAGTGCATCTATACTTCATTCCTTTTCAGGGCTAAATACTCCTCCTTTGCATGGCTATACCACACTTTATTCATCCATCTGTTGGTTGATGGGCACTAGACTATTTCCACTTTTTGAATATCATGAGTAACACTTACATAAACTTCCACGGGCAGGTTTTTGTGTGAACATATGTTTTTAATTCTCTTGGGTATATACCTAGGTGTTCAATTGCTGCACCATTTTACATTATACCAGCAACGGACAGGGCTTCCATTTCTCCACATCCTTGCCAACATGTCTCATTGTCTTTTATTACAGTCATCCTAGTGGATTGGAAGAAGTATCTCATTATGGATTTTTTTTGTTGTTGTTGATACATTCACTGGCACCACATGAATATGAGATTTAACAATTGAAATAACTATGTTAGGGAGATACAGGAACTCTATAATCTTCTCAATTTTTCTATTAATCTAAAACTATTCTTAAAAATAAAGTCTATTATGATGTTTCTACATGTGTATTTGTATGTGCTATAAGAATGTCCAGGTGTACGGTAGAGCTGACAAGGGACAAGGTTGTAATGGTTTCTTGCCCACAGCCAGCTACCAAGAGGGAACAAGTAGTTAGACCTGTGAGCTTGGGACCATGGTCACAGAGGACATCAAGCTCAACTGGCATAACACACGACACAAAAACATTGTTCTACATCCTACTTTGGTGAGTAGAGAGAGACTGGAGTCTTAAAAGCTTGCAAGCAGCCATCTAGAGAGAACAATGGGTTACTCCTCATCCAGAGCAAAGAATGATGAAAGCCAAAGATGCATGGAAACAATTAGTCCATTAGACTAGTGGACCATGTGAACTTCAGCCTATACAAGCATGAGAGCAGAAGAACTAGATGGTGCCCAGCTGCCACTGCTAATGGGCTGGGGGCGGGGGGGAATCAGATCAGTGCAGGAGATCCTGGATAGAGTGTTAGAACAATATGGAACTAAACTTAAAATCATTAAAAAAAAAAAAAAGGACCAGGTTTGCTGGCCTGGTGGAGCCCGGTGACATCCCTAAGGCCCCTAGCTACCCTTCAGGTCCAGAACTGAAGTTACTCCTGTGGCTTCAAGACAAACAACAGACGGGCATATGGGGTGAACATTTACATCAGGTAGATACACTCCTTGGAGTGATCAATCATGGGAGAACAGAAGGGCGGTGCTTGCACAGGGAGACAGCTCCGGGGTGGGAGTGTATGGGAGGGAAGGACTACCACAGGGAAGAGGAAACTACAGAGAGCAAATGGGAAGAGAGCTGTTACACTGGGGGAAATTGCAGTCAATGTCATGAAACAAAATGTGTATGAACTGCTGTATGGAAAATGCATTTCCTCTGTAAACTTTCACCCAGATCATGATAAAAAATAAATAAATAAGTAAAGTCGATTTAAGAAGGGGAATGCCAACCAACAATGTCAAGATTTGTATTCACTGGACGTTAAAAGCAGCTGTGGTGGTGCTATGGCAGCTAGCCACACCCCACTGCCCGCTCCGTGAGCCTGACGCCCTGTAGAGCTGAGGAACTCCTCTAACGTTCACCCAGCTGGGGAACAAAATGTGGGACCACAAGAACCTTATCCTAGGGCCTATCAACAACTACACTCTTAAGCAACTGTACATGGACCAAGCGGCTGTCATTTGAACAGGACAAGGGGATACTATATGGTTTAAAATGGTTTAAAATCAGGATTCTATGTGTTGGATAAGTTAAAATACTGGAAGAGAAACCTTTTTATGAACGAATCATTGTACATGGTTTGTTATGATTATAGAAATGATGTCACCTTATCGATTAACAATATACCTTAAATTGGTATTTCCAATTAAACAAATTGCTTTACTTGCAATGAATACAAACTTTCTGCTATTCATATTTAAATGAAACCAGAACCGTAAGTAATATTCCTTATATGCTCTATTTAAACAGCTGTGGGGTCAGAAATACATTTTCTGCTTAAGGTTCCTGTTGTAAACTCCCAGTTTGTTTTCCATCGTCTTCCTTATCCTTAGAACTGAGAAAACTTTGTCAGTAAAGAAAATCACTGCCTGTGTATAACTGCCATGTAAAACTTTATAGAAAAGTCATGCTGGTCCAACTTACAAGAAAAGTCTCTTCTTCACAGGTACCTTTCACTGGTTCCCACTGAGACACTGCTCAACCCAGATGTAATCTCCAGCTCTCATGTTCCCTTACCCCTCACCACTTAAATGTTTTTCCTAAAAGATGACAACATAGGAAGCACGTGGCAACATGAAGACAGACAGACAGCAAAGCCCCAAAAACATTCTAGCAAATTCCAAACCACACTGCTATTTTCCTAACCATCTCAAAAGAGGAATTCAGCGTTGTCTTCATTCTTTCCCTTCTGGGAAGGAAATTTCCATAAAATAAAAGACAGCTGATCATACACAGAGCAGGACTCCAAACATCACGCCAGGAAGAAATCGCAAGACAAGTGACCCCAGAGCCCATGCCAGGTCCTTCCCTGGGCCACGCCAGCCCTCCCAGGCATCCATCAACCTCCCTGAGAACCACCTGGGATCAGATTTCTCTCACTCTATCCAATGACTGGACTGCTAAAAGAAATAACAGATCTGTCCTGGAGGAAGTGCAGCCAGAATGCTCCTTGGAAGCAAGAATGGCCAGACTTCGTCTTACCTATTTTGGTCATGTTGTCAGAAGGGACCATTCCCAGGAGAAGGATGTCATGCTTGGTAGGGTGGAGGGTCGACGAAAGAGGGGGAGGCCTTC